GCGTGTCCCTCTACAAGAGGAGTATGCAAAAACAGTAAAAATTGGTTTGGGCACGATTTATGGATTATTTGTTGAGCATTTGTTGAATATTTGGTTGGGTATTTTTGGCTCTTCGCCCAAACTCCGCCTGCAGGGGGACACGCCCGACCTAAGGCTAGGACGAGGAACACTTTCAGAGCGCTCTGGAACGTTCTGAGAAGGCCGCGGCGCCCGAAGCATCCTCCAGAGCCGCTGGATCACAGAGGTTCTCGATTTATCCTCACCGAGTGTGTCCTCATCCCAGCTTCTCGGAGGCCAGCCCAGTGGGAAATGAGAAGGGGCGGGGCTTTCTCAGAAGGCTCGGACCCCCTCGGCATTCCGAGAAGTTTTCGGAGCCTTCCCCCGAGGGCGCAGAAAGCCTTCCGGAAGGCCCGAGGCCTTATGAGAAACCCCGCCGCCTTCTGAGGCCCTTTTGGGGCCCCCTTCAGGGCCCTGAGAGAGCACCTTTTTCCCCGCCTCATTGGGGTGGGCAGAACCCCCACCCTGACAACGTCGATTAGTGAGCGTTGCCCGTTTCTTTTCTCGAGAGGGCGCCGCGGCCATCATTTTCCAGGCTTGCGCCCGCCAGGTTTGGTCCCGAGGTCGTTTTCACTAAACCACGTTATACATAAGGGGGGTTCTGCTCATCCCCGATATTATTAAGTCGGGCGTGTCGTTCTACAGGAGGAATGTTCAAACATCCACAAAAACATAGTCAGGGGACGATGTTAAACTATATTTCCATATTTCTGGGTATGTCTGATTATGTTTTGACTCCTTTTTCAGGTTTCGTCCAAAGGCCCCCTGTAGGAGGACACGCCCGACCTAACGTTTTTATCGCCCCCATTAAATCGCGCCCAAGCACTGCCAGGGTAGCTCGTGGCGTCGTCTTGGGGGGATCCTGTCACCATCCCTGGCGGGGAACTAAGGCGGCTGCGGGTCGTCCCGGGGCCGCGTGTGTCCGAGCTGCCTTTTCGGGGCAGGTCTTGGGCCTCCATCGGGCGTCGTCTCAAGTCTGGCATGTCCCTCTACAGGAGGACGATTGAAGAATAATCCAAAGATAGTCTGGGGACGACCTTTTAGGTCATTTTTGAAGGCCGCCTGTAGGGGGGCATGCCCGACCTCAGCGCCGTCTTTGAGCGCCATGGAGCCTGGAACGGGGGACTCCGTAGATCGGCGGATTTTGGCTGGAGCGGAAAGTCCCAGACCCCCTCGAGAGAGGAGGAGAGGAGGAGGAGGAGGAGGAGGAGGAGGAGGAGGAGGAGGAGGAGGAGGAGGAGGAGGGAGGAGGAGGAGGAGGAGAAGGAGGAGGAGGAGGAGGAGGAGGAGGAGGAGGAGGAGGAGAGGGAGGGGGAGGGGGAGGGGGAGGAGGAGGAGGAGGAGGAGGAGGAGGAGGAGGAGGAGGAGGAGGAGGAGGAGGAGGAGGAGGAGGAGGAGGAGGAGGATGGATGGATGGATGGATGGATGGATGGATGGATGGATGGATGGATGGACCCAGCATTGCGCTGTGAGTCTGAAGACACTCACCCCTCGAGCTCACGAAACGAAAGATCGCTCGGGGACACCTCTGAACAGTCGTGCGATCTCCTCGGACCGAACGAGGTCAGGCGTGTGGGCGCGCCGTACAGCTGTGATCACCATTGATCCGAGCCGAGCAGGACAGGAAACAGTAAAACGCCCGCGGGCGGGGGGTGATACCCCTCTGGCCCCTGGGGGCCGAGCTCGACGGCGCGGAGAGCACCGAGCAGGCTCCCTGGACACCCCAGAGGCCCCGAGAAGGAAAAAAAGAAACCAGGCCGAAGAAAAGGGCCGACGGCGCGCCCTAGAAACCAGGGGCGGCGAGAGCGACTAGAGGGGCCTGGTGCTACAGCGAAGCTGCTGGACTCACGTCGTCACGTAGTGTGCTGGTCGCCCATCTCTTTCCGTAGGATCCGCCACCCGTGTCAGCCCTTCTGGCCGTAGTGGATCTGGCGGTTCTTGTCTGGCAGTTTCTGGGCCATCGATTCCAGGTGGCTCGTCCCCATCTCCTGGCGGCCGCCGAGAACGTCGAGACAAGTCTCCCGAGGGCCGTCTGGGTTGACGCTCTTCAGTGTGATCTGGTCCGCGTTAGCGAACTGCGTCCTGGTGTACTGGTCGTAGTGGCGCGTGCGCAGCCTGAGGTGGAAAAGAGCTCCGAGCCCGTCTCCGTGCAAACGAACTGCTGGTGGAAGGTACGCGGGAGCCCGTGCCCCTGCGGGGCCTCCTGCACCACGAAGGCCGACGGGTACTTGAACTCGGCGTGAGCGAGGTACAAATGTGGTGAGTTTGGGCTTCGCCTCGGGGAACTGCGCCGCCTCTGCGTACATCTTGCCCGCTTCCCGAGCTGCGACGATCGAGGTAGCCGTGGGCGTGGTCACGATGCTGATCCATTCCGGGTCCGCTAGGTCCCTGAGCAACTGGGCGTGCAGGCTCACCATCTTGGGGAGGAACGTGACCGCCTGCTGCAGGTCGCGCGACTTCAGGGCGCCCTCCAGACGAAGCATGATCGCGTCGTAGTCCCAGGTGTGCAGCGCGTGGGCCTCAAAGATGTCGCCCGCGTAGACAGAGCGGTGGTCTCGATCGTACAATATGTTGAGGCGGCGTCCTGCTCCCATGGGGGCCTTGCACTGGCGTGTGTGGGACTCCAGGGCGGACGGGGCGTAGAAGAAGTCGATCCTGCGTGATCGTCCGTGCGTCCCTACGAAGGTGTCCCCGCTGACAAAGAAGGTGTCGTGGTCCGAGAGGAACCGTTGCCAAAGACGTCCAGAGAGGCCCTCCAGCTCCAGGAAGGTGCCCACGGCGCTGTCGACCTCGCTCCACAAGTCGGGCACGAGCAGGGACGAGGAGCCGAGAAACGTCTCGTCCACGGAGTCGCCGAGCTGAGGTCCGCCCCGCTGAAGGGCGTGCGACGACTGCCCACAGACTCCATCATGGTGCGTGCCCACGAGGTCATAGCCTGGGTCACCTGGCGGTATGAGTAGGACTCGGATGGCACGGAAAGGTGCCGAACCATGAGGAGCACGTCCGAGGAGCGGCACTGTCGCGCCGCAGCGGCCCGAGAGCGCCGCGGGCGGAGGGTAGATCAGACGTAGGTGTGCCGGCAGAAACCGCTGATGTAGGAAGATGCTCCCCCCGAAGCTCTTGTTGGTCCAGCCGAAGCAGAGCTCCCCGTGGTAGTCGTGCTGAAAGAGGCTGTGGCGGCCGTCCGATGTCGGGCGGCGGCTCATCCCAGGGAAGAGGATCTCGCCCATGTAGTGCTCGCGGGTGATATCCTGCGCGCGGGTGCTGCCCGTCAGGTAGAGAGGGATGTACTCGTAGAGCCTGGTGTGCTGAGCAGGTTGCGGCTCTCGCTCCTGAGTGCGTCCAAGGGCGCGGCAAGCGCCTGTCGACGTGCGGGCGGCCTCTCGCGGCGAGAAGCCGACGGCCGCGAGCAACAGGAGAGCCGCCATCATGGGCCTCTTGGGCCCCGCGGGCGAGTGGGCATCGCGCGCTGCTCCCCTGGCGGGCGATGAACAGGGTGGGAGGGCCGCGTGTCCCGCGCCCTTCAGCCGTGGCGGCGGCTGGAGGAGGAGGAGGAGGAGGAAGAAGTCGCCTTTTCGGGCATCCAACAAATCATGGACGGGAGGTGTTTCCGTGTTTTCGGCCTCCGGGGGCCCTTACCGGGCTTCGGGACCGTCAAAAAACGATTCGGGGTGAAGCATCGGTCCCGGGGGAAGGGTCGGGGCTTCCGGGGGTCGACGTTAGGAGCAAAAAATCATGACGTCGGGGGTCTAGGATGTCGGCACGTCCTTGGGGCTCCAGGTGATGCCAAGAGATTCCCTGCTTGGTCCGTTGGGCGCCAACTGGTGCAGAATGATCTGCTTCGACTTGGCTCGACTACGCGTAAGAGTGACCCTTCGCCGGAGTGACCTTTGGTGCGGGCTCATTGGGGTCCCCCCGATCGCCGAGCGCGATGCGATAGTAGCGTCTTGCGCTCTTGTGTTTGACCCCCCCGCGGCCCCCCAAGAAGCCGCGCACCAAAGGTCACTCTATCCCAGGGTCACTCTTGCGTGTGGCCGACAACTGGTGCAGAATGATATGCTTCGACCTGGTGTGCTACAGACGGTGTTCGGTAGCATCCGTCTCGGGAGGGGGAGCGGGTGGGCCGTGGGGCCGCGCGTCGGCTCGCGTTAGAGGAGGCGATCCGCAAGGAGCAGCAGCGGGTTTGACACACGCCTGACCCTGCACCGCGCAGCGGCGAGACTTTGGTTCAGTCGGGCGTGTCCCCCCACAGGGGATTTTTTGACGAATAATTAAAAAATGAAAAATACCTCCAAATGGTATAAAAAAAAAAAAAAAAAAAAAAAAAGTCCCACGTTACTTTTTTACTATTTTTGAATATGCCTCCTGTAGAGGGACAGGCCCGACTGAAGACTTTGGGAGATCTAAGTTTCGACATTGCAGCGCGTGTTGTTTTGTAGCATACGCACATGCTCCCAGTTGAGTCACGTTCTCCATTGTCTCGTGCTAGTGGTTGTAGTACGCACAGGCTCCGCACGTGCGCAGGAGATGTGGTTGGAGTATACAGCGGTGTCCATAATACAGATGCCTCCCGCCGTTTTTGCTGGCGTGTTCCTACATGTGTTTTTTCAGCGGATTCGAAGCTGGCGCTGTTCCCCCCCCAAGCGCGGCTTGGGGCGATCGCGGCAGGCCTGTTTAAGTCGTGTTCCAAATCCTGTCAGCTTTCCTCATCGTCTTGACTGCAGTGGCAATGTTATTGGCATTACCCCAACATTCCATACTATGTGTGCGTCGCCCCCAAGAGGAGACGCGCGCGCTGAGAAATGATTCAGTAGATGTTTCATGGAGGATGTTTGATGACCTTACCTCTACGGAGACAATACGCTACACGATGGTTGTATTGTATGCTCGGGTCGGACGCACGCCTCCGAGAAGGATCACTTGCCCCATGCTGCCGCGCCGAGGTGCTCGTTCCTGGCCCCGAAGGAAAGGTGGCCGCGTGCGATGTCGCTGCCTCTCTGTACGGGCAGGACAGATGTCCGCAGCTCCTGCGCGGGGAAGGAGACGATGAGCAATACGATGATCGCTTCACTGTCAAGCTTGCAACTTTATGCCGGACGCGCCATGCAGATTATGGTGGGTGCCTGTAGGGGAACGACGAATGACATAACCATGAAGTCTCAGAGGTCCGCGTGGACTTCTTGGATCCACGCTGCACCCCCCTGGCGGCGCCTTTGGCGCCACCCCTGGCGCGCTCCGCGCGCCAGGGAGGGGGGTCCAGCGTCGATCTGAGAAATCCGCGCGGACCTCCAGGTTTTTACGTTTGTGTCATTCTTCGTTCCCCCGGGACACGCCATGCAGATTATGGTGGGTGCCTGGCAATTTTTTATTTTTTACCAGCGATTACGGAGCCCAGTGGCACGACACGACGGACGAGCGACAGACGACCGACGAACGAAGGGGGGTGGGGGGGGTTGGCGGGGGGGCCTGGCACTGTTTGGGGGATGCCTTAGGGAGTGCTGCTAGTCTCGTCGCTGCCCTCCTGCTGTCGCCACCTCTCACTGTGCAGAGCTGGTTGGGCCAGCACGCGGCCGGCCGCCCTGCTCCCCGTGTGCACTTGGGCTCCACCCCAGATTGCGCCAGAGTTTGCCAGAGGTGCGAAGATGAGTCAGGAGGGAGCATACATCAGAGGAGGAAAAGGTACCCATACCTAGGGAAACAAGAAGTCACATAAACATAGCAACTCGGAGGTCCGCGCGGATTTCTCGGATCGGCGCTGGCCCCCCCTCACTGGCGCGCGGAGCGCGCCAGGGGCGGCGCCGGAGGCGCCGCCGGGGGGCCCCAGCGCCGGTCCGAGAAGTCTGCGCGGACCTCTGAGTTGTTATGTTCATGTGACTTTTTGATCCCCTGATACCTCTACTCTTCGGCCGTATTTCTCGTTTGGGGCCTCCTGGGAGGCCCTCGTCGCCACCGCTGGGTTCGCTTCGAAATTCAGGTCAGAACGCACCCTGTGAGAGGTCCGGGGGTAGGTGTATCGGTACCTTTTGTATTCCCCAAAAACGCAGACACAAGTAGTCGTCGATTCCCCAGAAAACATGGGAAACAATGGGAAGTGAGGGGGAAGACGAAAACCACAAAATAATGAAAATATTGGGAATCCTGGGATTTGTGTATAATTATGTATGTGTGTCCCTGGGCCCCTTCAATGAGGGCCGCACCATCTTCCACTGATAACACGTCGCCACCCCGGGCCAACTTCGGGAAGACTTTCGGAATGCAGATCTAGGAGTATCGTAAAAGGTCAATTGGCTCGTGGGCATGCTATTCCGATAGAGCTACAGGACCCTTAATAATCCACCAACTTGCTAGCAAACTATGAATGCCAAGTGCCATTAAGGACCTGAGGACACTCCACTGTGTGCCCAAGGGACGGTGGCTGATCGGGGGGTAGCTCAGCATCAGAGTAGCTCCCCGTTATGTGTCCGCTTCGGAGCGCCTGGCAGATAAGTAGGATGATTCATCATTTGGAGAATGGGTAAGAGTAGGAGCAGGAGACAAGTTAGCCAGGTCGAACGAGTCAGCGGACCCCAACCATTATAAGTTTAGTGTTCTCTTTTGCACGCGACAGAAATCAGTGCTGCCACAACTCGAAGTGGTTTGCATTTCGTCATAACGCATTGCATTGCGTTGCTTTTGAGCGAATGCTCAAAGTGTTGCCTGGTCTTACACTGCGTGAGATTTCGAATGCACAGCTTTCCGTCGGATTATGGCGTCATTGAGTTCAATTATGTATCTTGTCTTTCTTGCATTTGGAAACAGGGGGTCCACAGCTGCAATCGCGCAGGATTGATTTCACCATGTCCATTTGTTAATTAATTTCCCGTTTGGTGTTGATATCGGAGCATGTGTCTTTTCCCTGGTGGAGGTGGGGACGGAGACGCTCGGGAAAGGATGTGATGACATTGGAGCGGAAGCCATGGCAGCAGGGCGCGCCACGCGCAGGAATGCGCCGCGAGAGGTGGAGGGGTGCGAGTGTAGGAGGAGAAGGGAGGAGGGATGGTGGAAGACGTGAAGGAATGAGGGGTGTTGGAGGACCCAGCCCTCGGACGCCGTTGCTTTCACTCAGGGCCCCCTACCCAGGACAGGCCCCTCGTCCTCGGCCCTTCTTCGACAGTCGTGAAGGCCCAAGGAGGGCCCCCCGGAGGCGGCGGGGGCGGCCAAGAGGGGGGCGATGACAAGAGGGGGGGTGGGTATCATGGCGTGGGCCATGGTATCTCCCCAGATTTCATGGCCCCTCTTGTTGTTCCACTGCGTCCTCAGTCCCCCACCTGGGCCGCGCACGTGCCCCCGGCCACGATTTGCGCCCCATCTCTTGGGCGCCCCCCTCTTTGGCCGCTCCCGAATGAAGAGGAGAACAAGACATGTGGAGGAGGGGGGAGAGAACACACAGATACGAAGAATCGTCGATTCCCAGGAAAAGAGCGGAAAAGAGGGGAAGTTGTGGGGGTGGACGAAATTCCAGAAGATATGGACAATTACACCTGAGAAAACCCTGATCAGTGGATGATTTGAAAATTGATCTTGTAGATGTTGAGATCGCCCCCCTCTTGGACGCCCCCCTCTTGGCCGCCCCCGAAGGCAGAAGCCGAGCAAGCATTTGCCGTCTGACTCCCTGCCAGACCACCCCAACCCAAACCCAGTCCCAGAAGCCAACCCAACCCAACTCAACCCCAGTCTTATGATGTTCCAACCTACTTTAGTCTTGATCACCATAATGAATTTCGAGCACCAAGAATACATACAAAAAATCAAGGGTTTTCAAGTGTCGGGCCCTGGGAGACACTCTTTCGACATTCTTTCGACACTCTTTCGACACTTTTCTGGGTGCTCGAAATTATTTCTGGGATGTTCCCTTAAGTACGATGAGAGCAACATAACCCCAGTCCCAGACGCCAGCCCAACTCCTAAGCCCAACCCAACCCCCGCCCAACCCCAGCCCAACCCAACCCCGACCCCAGAAGACGACAGCCCACCCCCACCCCCCAGTCCCGACTCCCATCCCCGACCCGGAGATTCGAGGGGTCGGGACTGGGGGTGGGGGCATTTTCTCCATCCCTGGGCCCAGAAACGCCCCCCCACCACCCCCAGTGCCGACCCCCTGGATAGCGGGTTCAGAGACGGCGTCGGGACCTGGGGCGGAGGGTGGGTTTTCGCTTTCCCAAGCCCGAAGACACGAATTTCGGATTGGGGGGAACGGGTTCCATCCGTGTTCGATGTTCCCCGACGATTCCCACTGGGAAAGGAGGGCAATCGGTGCCCTCGGGTTGGGTTGGGATGGTTTGGTGGGTGGTGACCGTCACGGTTTCTTCGCAGTGGGAGGATCTCGGGGGAGGAGGAGTTACAGTGGAAACCCATTCCAAGAAACACCTTGCTTGTCTCCAGGATGCCCTCAGTTTCTTGCGTTTCGAGGGTCTTGCTATGGAGAGCGTGACGCTCCCACACCAGAACTCACTGGACGTCCTGGGGTCTCAGGGCTGGGCCTCTTGTGGAAGGTTTCTTGTGGACTGGCCTCCACTGTATGGGGAGCAACCGAGGAGATGAACGTAACAACTCGGGGGGCCGCGTGGACTGCTCGGAACGGCGCTGGGGCCCCTGGCGGCGCCTCCGGTGCCGCTCCCGGCGCGCCAGAAGCGCGCCGGGCGGGGGGGGTCGGCGCCGCTTCGAGGAATCGGCGCGGACCTCCGAGTTGTTATGGCTTATAGCCTTGCTTGTTCCCCTCGGAGCCTGGAGATCCAGCGCATGGAAAAAGTCAAGACGGAGGTTTTTCGCCTTTTTCGGCCTCTAGAGGCCCTCGCCGGGCCCCGGGGCTATCAAAAAACCGACTCAGGATGAACAACCCGTCCCGGGGAAGGGGTCGGGACCTCGGGGGCCCCGTATGGGAAAAAACACGACATCGGATCTCTGGGACTAGGACTGCAAGGACGCGGACAAGGCGGAGGAGGAGGAGGAGGAGGAGGAGGAGGAGGGGGAGGAGGATGAGGAGGAGGAAGGAGGAGGAGGAGGAGGAGGAGGAGGAGGAGGAGGAGGAGGAGGAGGGAGGAGGAGAGGAGGAGGAGGAGGGGGAGGAGGAGGAGGAGGAGGAGGGGGTTGAGCCACACCCTGTGGCGGCGCGGCAGCCCCGCTGCTGGAGCCACAGGTGGCCATCCGCAGTTGCGAGCGGCAGCTCGTCCTGAGCGACGCGCTCCGGCTCCAGATGGCCTGGAACCAGGCCCACAGGGTTCTGGCCCTGATTCGAAGACAAAACGCAGCATAGACATCGGCATCTCCTCCTCCTGCTTCTTCATTTCCTTTTCTCCCTCCTGCTCCTTCTCCTCCTCTTCCTCCTCCAACGACGACGACGATTACCCGGCCCCGGGGTCCTTGCTCTCGACCAAGGGAACAGCATGAACGTACGGCAAGAGAGGAGGATCGAGGATCGACGATCGAGGAGGAGTATCGAGAATCGAGGAGGAGGATCGAGGAGCGAGGAAGATCAAGGATCGAGGCGGAATTTTGGGCAAAGCAGGGGGGGGGGCGCTGCGGCGGTCACCCGAGACGCCCGAGCGCGAGCCTGCTCTTCTGAAGATCAGCAGCCGGCGCCGAGGCGAGAGCGCCAGGGAGGATATAGGGTGTGCAACATTACCCATTGTTCAGTTCTAGTTCTTCGAAAGGTCTTCGGTTTTTTGGGGGGCCAAGATCCTCTCATTTCTAATTCCCAACCATCCTGTGGTGTTGGGTCCTCGTTTTGAAGAGACAGCGCCCCGCGTCTCCTCTGCTCTCCTTCCTTCCTCCTCCTCCGCCTCCTCCCTCCTCCCTCCTCCCACCCCTCACACGTTTCGTGGCCCCATAGGGAGCTCCACCGAAGGCCCCAGTGGCCACGTCCACATGGCGGCGCCGCACCCATTTCGGCACACCCTCACACGTTTCGTGGCCCCATAGGGAGCTCCACCGAAGGCCCCAGTGGCCGCGTTCACATGGCGGCGCCGCACCCATTTCGGCACACCCCTCACACGTTTCGTGGCCCCATAGGGATCTCCACCGAAGGCCCCAGTGGCCGTGTCCACATGGCGGCGCCGCACCCATTTCGGCACACCCCTCACACGCTTCGTGGCCCCATAGGGAGCTCCACCGAAGGCCTCAGTGGCCGCGTCCACATGGCGGCGCCGCACCCATTTCGGCACACCCCTTACACGTTTCGTGGCCCCATAAGGGGGCTCCACCGAAGGCCCCAGTGGCCGCGTCCACATGGCAGCGCCGCACCCATTTCGGCACACCCCTCACACGTTTCGTGGCCCCATAGGGAGCTCCACCGAAGGCGTGGCTCTTTGGCGCGTCCCATTTCGGCACACCCCTCACACGTTTCGTGGCCCCTCCATACATGGCGGCGCCGCACCCATTTCGGCACACCCCTCACACGTTTCGTGGCCCCATAGGGAGCTCCACCGAAGGCCCCAGTGGCCGCGTCCACATGGCGGCGCCGCACCCATTTCGGCACACCCCTCACACGTTTCGTGGCCCCATAGGGAGCTCCACCGAAGGCCCCAGTGGCTGCGTCCGCATGGCGGCGCCGCACCCATTTCGGCACACCCCTCACACGTTTCGTGGCCCCATAGGGAGCTCCACCGAAGCCCCCAGTGGCGCGTCCGCATGGGAGGCACACCCCTCACACGTTTCGTGGCCCCATAGGGAGCTCCACCGAAGGCCCCAGTGGCCGCGTCCACATGGCGGCGCCGCACCCATTTCGGCACACCCCTCACACGTTCGTGGCCCCATAGGGAGCTCCACGAAGGCCCCAGTGGCTGCGTTCGCATGGCGGCATTCGGCACACCCCTCACACGTTTCGTGGCCCCATAGGGAGCTCCACCGAAGGCCCCAGTGGCTGCGTTCGCATGGCGGCCCCGCACCCATTTCGGCACACCCCTCACACGTTTCGTGGCCCCATAGGGAGCTCCACCGAAGGCCCCAGTGGCTGCGTTCGCATGGCGGCGCCGCACCCATTTCGGCACACCCCTCACACGTTTCGTGGCCCCATAGGGAGCTCCACCGAAGGCCCCAGTGGCTGCGTTCGCATGGCGGCGCCGCACCCATTTCGGCACACCCCTCACACGTTCGTGGCCCCATAGGGAGCTCCACCGAAGGCCCCAGTGGCTGTTCGCATGGCGGCGCCGCACCCATTTCGGCACACCCCTCACACGCTTCGTGGCCCCATAGGGAGCTCCACCGAAGGCCCCAGTGGCTGCGTTCGCATGGCGGCGCCGAAGGCCCCACTGCTATTTTCGGCACACCCCTCACACGCTTCGTGGCCCCATAGGGAGCTCCACCGAAGGCCCCAGTGTTACCGCCCTCATGCGTCCCGTACGCCCAGGACAGCGTTTCGTGGCACGCCTTTCGTGGCCCTATAAGGAGCCCCACCGAAAGCGGCACCCACAAAGCGTTATTCACAATTGCATATGGTTGGGTCCTTCGCCAGGATAATTGTTTTATCCTGGGCCTCTTCCCGGCCACTAGGGGGCCAGGAACACTTAGGAACGAGCACACTTGGAAATGAGCACGATTAGAAATGAACGACGTGTAGGGTGTGCAACATGAATTGTATGTTCAATCATGAAGGTTCAGCGTGGACTAAGGGAGCCTCAGATCCTCTGGGAGTCTTGAATGAAACGCGGAGGACGTATCGAGCGGGAACGTCGTTGTTTGGAGGGGGGGGCCGCTTGCGGCGCCGAGGCGGGAGCGCTTGTCCTGAGTAAATCCAGGAAGTATCGAGCGGGAGCGCCAGTTTTGTTGGAAAGCCAGCCTTCGGCGATGAGCAGGAGCCCCGGTCCCGAGTAGAAAACGAGGATGTTTCGAGTGGGGACGTTGTTGCTGTTGTTGTTGAGTGTTAATTCTAGACGTTCCGCGTATCCCCACCAGGTCCATAGCCACTGGCTCAAACCTTGGCTCAAGCCCCCCTGGCTCAAGTCTGCTGCCGAGGGGCTGGCACGAGGCGTGCGCGCCTGCAGCAGGCTCTCTTTCTTCTCGCACGATCCCCACGGTGAGCCCTCGTGCGGCCGTGGGTCTCTCAGGTGCGCACTCGGGCCCAGGCCACGTCCGCCCTCTCAGGGGCCGCGCTGCGACGCCGCCAGCGGCTGGCGGCGGCGCGGCGGGACGCCGCACCTGGACTCTCCGGCCCTCTGCCGCCGCCGCCGCTGCCGCCGCCGCCGTCGGAGGCGGCCGGCTGGCTGGCGGTGGTTTCCGCCGCCGCCGCCGCCGCCGCTGCCGCTGCCGCTGCTGGCTCCCCGCCGGCGGCGGCGGCGGCGGAGGGCGCTGTGGCCGGCGCCGCCGCGGCCGCCCCTGGAGCCGCCGGCGGCGCGGCCGCCGCCGCTGCTGCCGCCGGTGCCGTCGCCACCGCTGTAGCCGCCGCCGCCGGATCCCCTCCGGTGGCGGCGGCGGCCGGCGGCGCCGCGACCGGCGTGGCGGCCGCTGTCGCGGCGGACGCTGCTGCCGCCGCTGGGGTTCGTGTGTCCCGAACACCAAGCCCGGCCCATTCCCCCTCGGTTGGGGACGAGGTTCTGGCACGGACCCACAGGACAATGGGGGAAGGACTGCCAGACGAAAGCACAGCTGAATCCGTAAAAGGAAGCAACACACTCTCCCCACCAAATGGACAGGCAAACAGTTCCCCCCCAGCGGTGACAGAAGATCCTCCGCGGAGGACGACGGAGAGAGCAACCAGACATGACACGGGCCGCCCAGCTCGGACACACAGTGCCGACCCCTCCTTCTCCTCCTCCAATTCACTTGATTGCGCGGCTATCGGCTGCGATTCCTCCCCTTCTCCTCCTCCTCTCGATGGGCTGGCCAACATTTCCCCCCCAGCGGTGACAGAAGATCCCCCGCAGGGAGCGGCGGAAAGATCAACCATAGACGACGAGGACAGCCCAGCTCGAACCGAACACACAGGGCCGACCACTTCTGCGACCACGACCACGTCGACGACGACCACGACCACGACGGCTACGAAGACGACAACGACCACGACCGCGGCGTCGACGACGACGACGACGACCACGACCACGAGCACGACCACGACGACGACCACGACGGCGACCACAAAACGGCAGACGACCATCCCGGGGATCCTGCCACGCACAACGACACATCGGAGCATAGCGGCAGCAGCAGCGGCAGCGTGCCACTCCCCGTTTCGTCGACAGACGAAGACGTCTCAGAGGGGTATCGAGAGGCGGTCGAGGCTGAGGACACGATACCACCCCCCGCATTGCGGACAGACGACGATGTCCCAGCGGGAATCGAGAGGAGGTAGCCTACAGTGACCAGTGTATAGCTCACACCAACGACCCCCCCCCCTCCAGCAGGGCCAACAGGCCAGAGGAAAGGAGTGGGAAGTCACGGCGGAGGCGGCGGAGGCTGCGGAAGCCGCGGAACATCCCCCTCAGGACAATCAGTCCGTCAGCAGTCCTATGGGAGAGCCACGCACGCAGCAGGGAGACCACGGAACAGCCACCCAGACGCAGGACAACGAAGCCATACGCCGGCTCGTCGAGAGAAACCGCTTCGCGCCTATTCGCCCTCCGTCCCCTGTCAGTGATCGGCTGCGGCTCCCCTCCTCCTCTTCCTCCTCCTCCTCCTCCTCCTCCTCCTGCGCCTCCTGCGGAGGCTGTGGTCAACGCTACGTCGGAGGATGCACGCTGTGTGGGCGTCGCATCGACTGGTCCCCCCAGGAGCGGTCACAATAGGCAAGTCAAAGAATCCTGGTCTCCTTCTCGCTTGCGTATCCCCACCAGCACACACGGGCAGTCCCCCTCTGAGGTCTGGCGCTCTGTTCCCCCCGCGGTCGCAGTGGGCCCTCCGCAGCGCACGGTGGAGGGGTCGCAGATGCCACAGTCCACGCCCCGTGGTCACACCTCGCGTGCTTCCCCCAGTCGGTGCCGCGTCCAGGACACCGCTGGCAAAGCAGCGTGCTCCCCGGCTATTGAAGTTGCGCCGCCGAACGTGCACGCGCCCGGCACAACCAGCGGCGCCCCAGAGGCCGGAGAGAGTCCTGCGTTGACCAAAGGGGGCGCACCTGGGAGCGACGGCGGGCACAGCCCCGAGGGCGAACGTCAGCGAAAGGGGCCCCTCCCCACGTGCGAAGATCGAGCTGTATCCAGAGAGGGAGGCAACGCATTCCTCCCGCCAGCGGTGACAGAAGGCCCTCCACAGGCCCACGCGGAAAGAACAATCCCAGATGACTCGACCTGCCCCACGCGTGCACACATCGCCGACCCCTCCCTCTCCTCTTTCAATTTACCAGATCTTGCGGCTATCGGCTGCGCCCCCTCCCCTCCTCCTCCCCCCACTGCGCAGGGCACTCTTACATCGCCCCCTGCAGCTGGAAATGAGGCAAAGATACCGTCGAGGCTCCTTCGGCAAATCGCTCCAGTAGGACATGAGCTCAGAGCGAGGAGGATAAGGTGGTATCAGAGGTGGGTAGGGGATCCAAACAGACACATTGCAGAATGGGGGTCGCTACTAGGCAGTACGCGGGTCGAGCTTTCAAACGAGTTGCCGATTGTGGGCGACGACGCTCGACTCATTCAGGCAGCATGTCCCTGGGCTTGCAAATTTGTGGAATATATATATATATATATATATATATGTATATATATCATCGCTGGCAGACCTCGGGGACGATGGTTACACTATGGTGCAGCAGTTTAATGGGCAGCCTCCCCGTCTTTTTTCTGACTCCGGGCTGATCGATTGGTTCGCGCTCTTCGACGCAAAAAAGATCAGGGCGGCATACTTGTCGGTTCGCATTCCTCCTCCTAACTGGGCCCCACTATCTGCGACCCCAGAGGACCCCGACGTGAGACAAGATTGGGGAGTACGGCTGTCCTGCTCAAGGGTGCTCCAGAAGGTTCCAGTGAAAACGTCAGGTCCTGGTCCACTTACACAGCCATCATGGCCTCAAATCTAGTATTGGAACAGCTGTGGTTAACAGCCAGTGCTTCGTGTGCAACAGTGCATTCGAATCTAGAAACTCAGCATGCAAACGTGTGGTGGATTCATTCCAGAGTGGATTATGCATGGTGAATCTTAGTGCGACATTCCGAACACCTACACCATTATCCTCGGACTGCCCGTTGTGCGAGGCTCAGGTGCTTGATTTCTCCGAACTTTCACAACATATACGCTCGCGCTTTACCCAGTTGCCGCTACGGTTCGACGGTGGCGATCATAGCAAGCATTCCAGCTTGGCAGCTCAGCGTGAAGCGCAGGGCCAGCCAGGTTACAGGCGGCGACGATCGACGGCAACGGCTGGAACAACAGGTGGTCGGCCAGGCTCGTCAGGAGCTCAAAGGCAAGGAGGGGGGCATCATGGCAGCGTTGTTGGCAATTTTGCGCAGGCTTTCTCTCGCCGATGCCCGCGATCTCGCGGAAATCACAGGCGCTACGTTCACCTGTTTTTTTCCTGCCAGCCATCGCCGCCCTCGTCAAAGTGATGCAGACGGCTGGTCAGGACTGCGCGGCGGACTGCAAAGAACAGGGGAAGCAGCACGACAACGGGCCCCCTTGGCCCCGCATCTTCACGGCGCTGGTAGCACACTTTCTGGCTACTCAGGCGGACAACAAGGAGCCAGTGGTGAGTCAGGCGCTGGCTGTTCTCAAGCACTACTGGACACAGACAATCAAGGACGACAAATCCGTGACCCTTTCTCTGCTGGCCGAGCACGTACGCTACTGCCGCATGCCGGCATGCTGGTTCGACAAGAAGGCGGGCAAGAAGGAGGCGGACACTTACGAACTACAACTCATGATGAGTCCATACATTCAGAGTCAAGTGGTCACGATCGATGGCATGCCGCTGATGACCGTCCACGCGGCGTTGCAGGTGTACATTCGTCAGGAGAACGGCAAGATCAAAGCAGGAGCGGCTCCCGAGGGGGCCTTGGAGAGGGACGCAGAGCGGCTGCTGGCGAAGTTCGGAATGGCTCCAGAGGAGATTCAGAAGCATTTGGCACCGTAGATGGTGATATGTCTATGACTCAGAGAGTGGATCGTGCTGCGGCTTCTGCGACACCCTCGACCTCTTCTGAGACCCGTGCTCGTTCGAGGATAAGGCAGCCTGCCCGTCTGTCCGGCATTGCTCAGTCAATTCGCATGCTCGAGCTGGCCCAAAAGGGCCACCTTGGACACCCCCAGCTTGCCAAGTTGCAAGAGAAATCAGACACCCCGATTTTAGACTACACCTCGGGGAATGCCAAATTTCAGGCTTATTACCAGGAGCCTTTGGAGTTTCGTTTGACGGTGGTTCAGGCTCTCCAGAGAGCCGCTCTGGTCAGGACAGTTGCCACTGACCTCAGCTCCTCCTCGTTCTCTGCTGATGCGCGTGCTTCGAGTGCGCTGCTTGCCCCTCCTTCACAACCACCGTCACTGATTTCAGAATCTGAGCAGAATGAGTTTCGCACGTAACGCCACGGCCCCCTCCGCTGCCTGCTGCCCTCTCTCCTCCCCTTCCTCTCTCCCGCGGCCTTTGCTGCTGCTTGACCCCCCTCTTCTCCTGGCGTCGCGTGTGTGTGTGTGTGTGTGTGTGTGTGTGTGTGTGCGTGTGCGTGGTGTTCGTGTGTTGGCGGTGTCCTGTTCCTTCCCGCCCGTCGTTCCCCTTCGTTCCCTCGTCGCGTCGTTGCTGGGCCGTGGCCTAGGATTGAATTGGGGGAGACTTCCGACTCTCTTCTGATGCGAGCCTGCCGCTGGGAGGATGGTGCCCATGTAGGCCGTCACGGGCCGTTCCCCTTCGGACGGTCCTGCTTTGGGCCAGTGGCTTCCCCCCAGCGAGGCTGCAGGCTATAGCCCCGTGCTATCCGTTGATCCTTATACATACCTTGTGCTCGTGTGTCAAGTGTCGCACGGCAGTGGAACTCACCAGGGTCGCAAGCGTTCCAGTCCAGTCCAGTCCTCCTCCTCCTCCTCCTCCTCCTCCTCCTCCTCCTCCTCCTCTTCCTCCTCCTCCTCCTCCTAAGGCCTCCTAGATGGGGTCGGAGAAGATGGGGTCGAGGATCGCGCCGCATTGCCGATGCATTGGCGATGCGGCCCGATGTGGAGCCCGTGTAATTAGCCCCACGCCTGCGTCGCCGGTGCATTGCCGACGTCGCCGATGCATCGCCGATGCGTCGCCGATACGTCGGCGATGCATGAGCGATGCGGCGCGATCCTTCGACCCCATCGACTCGGACCCCATCCAGGAGGCCGCTAGACACGAGGCCCCGCGCGCAACAGGAGTGGGCGCATCCGCTCCTGCTTCTGCGCTGCAGGCCGCCTGTGCGTTCGCGCGCAGGCCCTTGAGTCTTCTGGGCTCGTGAGTACCCCGAGTTTCTGATACGGCTACGGGGGGGCGTCGCCCCCGCCGACAGCCCCATTGACCCCCGTCGCGGCGCGACGACGAGGCGAGGTTGAACCCCGTCGGGGGGTAGACCCCCCACGCTCATTAAGAAACCTAGAGTAGGTCGCGTCCAGGCGCCGTGACCGAGTCGTTCCAGGTGGGCAGGGTTGCGTCCGCCCGGGGCCGCTTGTTCCCGTGTTTACGCAAGGGGCGGGCCGTTGGGTTCGGCTGTCGGCCCTCCGCACCTTCTGCGCCAATGCACCTTTGGTTTCGCGGTTGGTTGATCCAACCCAGCGAGGGCAAAAACGGGACGCGCTGGAGAGCGAATTATTACCGAGCGTATGCGGACGGGAGCTCATGACGAGCGGTGGACGGATGCAGGTAAAAACACGCATGTGTCATCTATGTGAACCCCGCACATCAGGCCGATGTTGCTCTGCCCCCCTACTCGCGTGCTTGGGTGAGTGTGGTCTCGAAGTCCTGCCCGTGTCAGCCCACCCTTTCTTCTTTCTTCACCTCTTTGCCCATCTGTGCGCTCTTCATGTTTTGTCTTTCCTTCATCTTACTCCTCCTCCTCCTCCTCCTCCTCCTCCTCGCCCTCGTCGTCCTCCCCTCCCTCCCTCCCGGTCCAAAATTCCTCCTCCACCCCTTCGATCTCCTCCTCATGTGGCCACATGATTGCTTACCTGAGGGCCGTAAAAGGGGCAAATAGCCTGAAAGGGGATCGCCATTTCCGAGCGGCCTTATTGCTTGGAGCCCCTGCGGCAGAGCTTCCTGCTCCCAGGAGGCGCCCAGCGTTATTGACGCGAAGGCGAAGAAGCCCTTTCCTTCCAGCTCGAAGACAGTGCGCGCATGTCCGCTTGGATGTGCGAATGATTGCAAGCGTTTGCTCGCGCGCCTCTCGCACACTGCCGTCTCCGTTGCGCATCTGCCGACCTGTGCAGGTCCCTCTGTCGTTCGGCTCGGCCGTCCACTTGGTGCACGGCGCAAGTGCGGGGGGGGGGGCGGGCGTGTTGGCGGTCGGGTGTTCGATGCTGGTTTTCCTCGTGTGATCGTTTCTGTCGGTGCATGCAAGGGTTGAGGGCAAGATACACGTTGTACGGATATGGAATTGCGATCCAGGCGATTAGGGGGAGGAAGACGGGAGGAGGGAGGAGGAGGATTTCGCGGATGAAGGGGAGGAGGAGGGCGAGCAGAAAAGCCAGAGGCTTCTTGGATGTCTCTCGGAGTCGTTTCGGATGTCTTTCGAGAGATTCTTTGAGTCCTCTTAAGGGCGCTTTGGGGGTCTTGGCAGTCCCGGGGGCCTCTTGGGGCCTCTGGGTGCCTCAATGATTCTGGCCTTCTCGCCGAGACCATGTTTGACGCTCCGACTATTCGCGAAACGCTCCGTCCAGGTCCAAGAGGAGGGCCGAGGAGGAGGGGTAAACCCATCCCCGAAGGGGACGAAGGGACATGCAAGAGGAAACGTCCTAAAACACTCACGTCCTAAGCCTGTCACTGTAACCCACCATAGGTAGCTCCTCAGCGCCCTTGCGGTGGCAAAAGCTTCCAGCTTTCAGCGAAGATAATTCTAGAGTTGTGGAAGTCGGTTAATGGAGAGGAAGCATATTGCCAAATCATTGTCAGGTGTCTAAAAATGTGCAAGCATGTTTCAGCATGTAAAACACATGTTTGAAACATGTTTATAACATGATTTACACACTTTTAACACATGTTTAATTCAATGATAGGAGTGTTAGAGTGTCCATTGTCATGGCATCCACAACTCTAGCGTGCAATGCAGCATATCACACGTCGAGGTGCTGCAGGTGTCGGCCTGCGGCCAGGGCCGAGCCACCTGGTCCAAGTCTCGTTCGCGGGTGTCGAACTTTCGGTCGCTTCCCCAGCCGCTGTTCCGTCGGGGTTGAACACGGGCGACGGGGCGGAGGACGAGGGAGAATGAGGAATCGGAGGAGACGGAGAAGGCGACGGGGGAAAAGGTGTGGCAGCACCGCTTAAGTGCACAGGCGAAGACACCGCGCCCTTGTGCGTACATGCGCACGACAGCACGGAACCTGCGTGCACGCGCGTGCACCGGGCGCGGCGTGCAACCATCATTGTGTTCAGCTATCTTGTCGTACACAGCGAGCACGCGTGAGTATAAGCACTTGTCTTTTTCTCTGTGCCCTCTGCATTGCATGTATAAGCACCGGGAGAGCACGGATGTTATCAGCAAGCCGCTCACGTGTTTACCCACGCCGTGGCAAGGAACTGCGAACGCGCATTATACCGGGCTAGCGACGACGGTCAATGCGGCGGAAGGGGGACAGGGCAGGTCTTGGATGCAGGCCTTGCATGTATGAACGGTGGCCCAGAACTCAAAGATAAAACATGTTGGATGGCATGTGTGGCAGCATCTGCTTTCCCACCCGTGCCGTTGCATGCTTCAGATGCCAGTTGAGGAACCTCGCGATCGCAGCTTCTCTTGCATTCCAGTTACTTCATGTCTGCATCGGGTTGCATCAGAAGGAGCCGTGGTCGTGACCTCTCTTTCTCTCTTTCCCATCCCTCTCTTCGCATCCATTGGTCCCCTCGCGCGTGGTCTCCGTGACCCTCTCCCCCTTTCTCTCTTTCTCTCTACCCCTCTCTCTCTGTTTGATCTGGTTGCAGATGTGTGCCGAGGTTTCGCCTTGTGCCCGCCCGCGGGCGCCCAGTGGGCGATCGTGGACGCTCCGTGCTGGATTGGTATGCCGAAGTTTCGCCTGTTGCACGCCCGCGGGCGCCACCATACGCGCTCTCGGCCTATCGCCATCCTCCGCCCCGACCTCTCCTCCCCCTCCTCCTCTCCATCCTCGTCCATCTCTTAATCCTTCTCCTGCTGCCCTCCTGCTCCTCTTCCTCTTCGCCCTGCTCCTCGCCCTTCTCCACCTTCATCCCCGGGCAGTTTCCCAACACAGTGCTTGCACCTATAGGGGTTCTTGTTTCTCTTGCTAAGAAATCGGTTAGATCCAGCGAGGTTTCGCCACGTTGCCGCCCGTGGCCGCCTCGTGGCCGCCCCGGGCACTGGGTGGATTTGTCGAGGTTTCGCCATGATGCCGCCCGTGGCCGCGTGGTCGCCTCGTGCGCTGGGTGGGTCTGGCAGGTTTCGCCACGTTGCCGCCTGTGGCCGCCTCGAGGACGCCTGGTGCGCTGAATGGGCCTGGCGAGGTGTCGCCAGGCTGCCGACTCGTGGCCGCCCAGTGCGCTGGCGGGCTCCCGCAGGGCTTCGCGGCGCTGGTGCCCGTGGCCGCTTCCTGCGCCGGGTGGGTCCGACGAGGTTTCGCCGCATTGCCGCATCGAGGCCGCCCCGTCCGCTGGGTGGGTCTGGCGAGGTTTCGCCACGTTGCCGCCCGTGGCCTCCTCCAGGCCGCCCCGTGCGACGGCGTGGCCGCCTCGTGCGCATTTGGTGGATCTGGCCAGGTTTCGCCCACGCTGTCGCCCGTGGCGTGGCCGCCTTGTGGCCGCACCGTGCATACACTACGGAGCCCACACAACATATATTGCACCACGTAGGTTTTGTAGATCAGGCCACGCTGATTGCACTACATAGCTTGCACCGCGTAGCTCACAAGATCATACGTCACACCACATAGATTGCACCACCTTGCTGTCACCACATAGCTCACGCAACAGACCTTGCACTGCGTCGACTGCATCATTCGAATTTCACCACAACTGCATTCATTTCACGACTGATCTCACACCACATAGCTCGTACCATATAGATTGCACCGCACAGCTCACACCATACAGACCGCACCACAGAGTGCGCCACATAGCTTACACCGGGCAGCTGACCTCACAGAGACCGCACCTCACAGATCACACTGGCCCACACTCCCACAGTGCAACATCCCACGGCTTGGGGCCCACGCTGGCAAGCGTGTTGGACATGTTCTTTGCCAGATCGTGTGTTCCCTCGGGTCCCCCGGTGTCTTCACAGTTCCCCTTCTGCCGTCCGCCCGTCGCAGGGCCGAGCCACTGACCCGTCTGGGAGCGAGCCCTGGCCAGGAGGTCGAGGCAGATCCAGCCACACGGAGGCCCCAACAAGGGCGACCGAAGACGTCGGCATCCCTCCTCACCGTTCCTCCTCCCCATCCGTCCGGAGGACTGAGCTGTGACATCGCGGCGCTGTGCTTCCATTTCGGCGTCCGGGGGCCGTATAAAAACACTGTTCTCTCTGAGGAGGCCGAGACTTCTGGGGCTGGCGGGCTTGCACAGATCACTTAGTTGCATGTCGGGGTCCCTCCTGCCTCCTCCCCCTCTACGAGCGCTCCGATTTCTGAGGGCTGCGGCCCGTCTCGCCCATCCCCCGAGGGACGCGCTCTGGCGCGGTGGTGGCGGTCCGGTCGTCTGTTCCCCCTCTTAGGTGGGCTGGCCGCTGCTCGAAGAAGTGGCTGTGCGACTTCTGCCACATGCACTCGAACACCAAGCGGAGGCAACGCCGCGTCGCCTCCATCTCTCAAGGTGTCGAAGAGGGCGTCGAGGTCTCAACGGGGGCGAATGCGGATACGTCCTTCCAGCTGCTGGGTTGGTGGATCGCGACTCGAATCTGTTGTGGTAGCCGCGAATATCTCGGGTAAGCAGAAACGTCCAACTGGTAGCGCCCATGTTGGCGGCCCGCAATTGTTGAGTTGATGGGCCTGTTTTGCACCACCACCACCACCACCATAAGTTAGGGGGGAGGAAGTCGAGGATGAGGAGGAGGAAGAAGAGGAATTCCTGTTGAATTCTTCAGAAGGCTCCTACTCAAATCCTCCATAGCAGGATTCCTAGCTCAGTTTTCCACAGAAGGGTTACGATTGCAAGATAAAAAAGGGGAGTCATTGGTGCTCCCTGGCATTGCATTCACCTTGCGCTGACAGAGCGCTGACATAGCACAGGCATTGCCTTGTATTCGACGTGGCACTGCATGTCTCTTGAAACCCTTCATATAGGGATATGTATTGAGTTTCTCCGCAGAATGACCCATACTGAAACCCTGAGCCTCTACAGTAGGAATTCTACTTAAATCATCCACGGAAGGGTTTGTATTGAAATATAGAAGCATTCCTCTTGAAACCCTTCATAGAATAGTTTCGTTTTTCAAGTCCTCCTCAGCTGGATCCAACTGACATCCCCCACAGCAGGAGTCATTTTGCACCCCCCACAGAAAGACTCCGACTGAAACTCTCTATACCAGAATCCCAAGTTGAATCACCCGCCTAAGGTGTTCTTTTCACATTTTGAAGAAAAGCGTTCAGTGGTGCCCCTTGGCATTACATTGGCCTTGCGCTGGCAAAGCGCTGGCACAGCACACGCATTGCCTTGGAAGTGTAGTGCCACGCATTCCCTTTGAAACCCTGCATGGAAGGAATCGAATTCGATTTCCCGGCAGACGGTTCTTACTGAAACCCCCGAAGAAGGATCCTTAGTTCAACCATCAGCACATATATTTAGATTGAAATATGGAACAAAGGTTCACTGGTGCTCCTTGGCATTGCATGGCCTTGCGCTGGCAAAGCGCTGGCATAGCACAAGCAGTGCCTTGGACGTGAATTTCATTGAATTCCGTTCGAAGCCCTTCATAGAAGCATTCAAGTCAAATTCTTCTTCAGATGGTCTCATTTCATCCCCTATAGCTGGAGTCTTATTCAACCATCCACAGCAGGAGTTGCATTGTAGTGTCGACGGAAAAAAAAACAAGGTGCATTCTTTTAGCGTTGGATAGCGTTGAATGAGGATTGGCATTGCGCTGGCCAAGTGCTGGCATTGCACTGACACTGTGCTGGCGACGCATTGGCACGGGCATGGCGTATAATTTCATAGCATTTGTGTTCTTTGGCCTTGCATTGGCTTTGCGCTGGCAAAGAGCTAGCGTAGCACTTGCATTCATCAGCATTGGTTGTCTATTGAAACCCTCCACAAACAAAGATTTTGATTGAAAACTCTCCGCATAGTGATTCCTAGTGGAAGCCTCTACAGGACGGTAGTATAGCATTGGAGCCCCTTGGCGTTGCGATGGACCTTGCGTTGGCAAAAAGCTGGCAAAGCACTGCCAGTGCCTTGGCAGTGTCTTGGCGTTGCGTTCGTATTTAAAGTATACCAACAATCTGCATCGAAACCCTCCACAAAAAGAGTTCTCTTGACATCCTCCACATGGAGATTGTTATTGACATCCTACCCAAGAAGAGTTCCCGTTGAAACCCTCCACAGAAGGACTCCTACGAAATCTTCCGCGTACGGATTCCGATTGGACGCCTCCGCAAAAAAAGGTTCCAATTGAAATCCTTCACAGAAGGATTCCATTGAAATCCTCCATAGAAGAATTTCAAGTGAAATGCCTCACATACTTACGCTACGGAGGAACCCCACATACATAATTTAAATCGTATGTGTTCGCTTACGTTTATAATATAAACGCAATTCTGCGTTTTGAGCCTTCGTCGCGAATGTTCCCCTTTGTGCCATCCAACGCCATATTGCTTGACCGTCCTCCCTCTTCCTAGCCTTCTATCCTCCATCGAGGACAGATTCGAGCCAGCCAGCGGCCGCGGTGAGAGACCACCCCCTGCGCACCCCCTACGGCGTCGAGAAAGTGCAACGCCTGCTATGCCCTGGACGACCGTCGTGCATAGCGGCCGCGCTGAGGGACCACCCTCTGCGCACCCCCTATGGCGTCGAGAAAGTGCCACTCCTGCCACGACCTGCGAGCGCGTCCCATATAGAGGCCGCGCTGAGGGACCACCCTCTGCGCACCCCAGGTTGGGGTCGACAACGTGCCACTCCCGCCACGATCTGCGAGCGTGTCACGGATAGAGGCCGCGATGAGGGACCACCTTTTGCGCACCCTTTGTGGTGCCGAGAAAGTGCCACTCTTGCCACGATCTGCGGGCGCGTCACGGATAGAGGCCGCGTTGAGGGACCATTTGTTGCGCACCCCTTGTGGTGCCGAGAACGTGCCACTCCTGTCACGACCTGCGAGCGTGTCACGGGTAGAGGCCGCGCTGAGGGACAATTTTTTGCGCACATTTTGTGGTGTCGAGAACGTGCCATTCTTGCCACGGTCTGCGAGCGTGTCACGGATAGAGGCCGCGCTGGGTGACCACTTTCTGCGCACACTTTTGTGGTGTCGAGAAAGTGCCACTCTTGCCACGATTTGTGAGCGTGTCACGGATAGAGGCCGTGCTGAGTGACCACTTTCTGCGCACCCCCTGTGGTGTCGAGACAGAGCCATTCCTGCCACGAT